ACTAAGTCATTGCTAAGTCATTGATTAAGTCATTGATATCTAATTGTTTATGCGTGAAATTAAGTTTAAATTGTGGGGTGAATTGTTGGGACAGAAACATGTCACACTGATCTGTTGGCGTACTCTGTTGTAATTTCATTATTTCAAACACTCGTACATTACTTTAACTCTGGACATTAACTGACATTTCACTACATTTTTACACACTACATATCCACAAGTTTCCTACGCCCCATGAGGCCTTGCGTCAAAAGTGGGCGCGTCTTCCAGTTCGAAGTAAACAAAGCGCGACTTGACATACAGTACTTCACACTCGTTCATTCAACAGTTGATAGTCATTCAAGTTATAGCGATCCAAACTAACTAACGATGTGGGAACACAACCTCAACGAAATTAAAAAGGAGGAAATAACAGCACCTTTACCCTCCGCAGTTACTTGGTTGGGAGTATTATAATAACATTATTAATAATCAATACTCATCAAGGCATGGCGACAGACAGTTGTGTGAGCTGACAAACAATTAAAATAAAAAATACACACTTAGTCATTGTGCTTTGGAGTTTATTCAAAATTATAAATGAATGTGCTGCTTGAATACATTAACTGGCACATTTGGTATTCTGTCAACTCAGGCTTTGATCCTGAGTTTAGGTGTAACATCAGTAGAGAACAGCCAAACACATGCTGATAGAGTTTATAGAATATTAAGAATTTAAACAAATGTACACAGGAAGAGTCGTCGTCTTTTGGGAGGTGATGGAAACTAATATTACAGTCGTTGGCAGGATCACTCTGATTTCGTTTTCGGCTTATGTTCAAAACAATCAATCACGTTTAAGCCACTGAATTAGTTTAGTCCGGTTATACACACAACCGCGAGCACCACATGTTGTCCCTGAGCTCCGTAACGACATCTCTCATAAAGATTTGCGTCTTTAAATAGTAAAATAATTATCCGAAAAACAGCTAACCTCTTCGCTAACTAACACACAAAATACCATTGGAATGCTACTTCTGCCGCCTCACCGGAAGTTTCACCCACTTTATTTTTTACAGGAGCGCCCCTCGGAAACTTGTGGATACATTGAGATTCAAACATGGCTGCCACTTCTTCTCCTTCACCATTCACTTTTGTGGAGATGGAACCACCAGACTTTGTTACTCCTGCACTCCGTCATCAGCGCTCTTTGCCTGGGCCCCTTCGTGCTCCTTTCCACTTCACTCCCACTCAAGCCAGCACCACCAACTTCACAGGAACCCATGTGGGGTTTGAAATTTCAACACTAGGGGCCAGTTGTTCAAAACATTTAATCTGGATCAAAATGATCCGGATTTGGAAATCCCATTTTTTCCTATCCAGGATCAGGCAATCCATCTTACTTTTATGCCGATTTTTCAAAGCAAGATTACCAAATCCAGATTACCAGTGCTCTATTTGGTCAACATATCACAATGTGGGCTACCATCTATGTAAAGAACAGGTAGAAGAGCCAACATGGCGTCACTGTAAGTGTTTCTTATTTTGAGACAAAACACAAATGGGGACAAGCTAATTTTTATTTTATTTTTACTTTACTATACTGAATAGCTTAATGGTTAGCCTATGTCTATTTTATCACTGTTACAACTGTTACACAAGTCAAGTGCAAAATATAAATAAAAGTATATACACAAATGATACAAATGTATTTTTTGACCAATTTTAAAGTATTACTACATTTTCTTCCTGAAATCCACCTTGAAATCCTACCCCCTGTTGGGATCAGGATAATCCTGCTTTTTTGGATCAAATTTATCCAAATCCCATTGACAAGTTTTGAACAACACAAACCGAAGGTTTGATCCAGATTAAAACTAGGATTGGATCCCCTGATCTCCTTCTTTCCCTTTTGAACAACCCCTTTTCAAGATTTGATCCAATCCGATAACCAAAATCCGATCAGCTTACCTTTGAACAACTGGCCCTAGCTGATATGTACATCATCAGAGCCTTCATCTCTATCTTCAGTGGCACAGCAGTACCTGCCTCCCATCCTGCCAACTCCTGGAAAAGAAATGCATCAACTCGTTCAAGTTAAAGTAAACCAGGGCACGTTGATGGAACATATGACAACCCATGAGAAAACCATTGGTCAACTCTCCCAAGAACTTAAAACAATGTCTGCACACCACGACAGCCTGATTGCTAACCTTGCTGATAAACTTGAGCACAAAAAAACAAAAGTGCTCACACATTTCTGAAAGTAAACAGCGTGAAGAAAGAGACTAATCAACTCAATAAACCAATTGAAGTTATGATTTATGATCAACTTTACAAAGCTAAGACTACCTATATTTCTGAGGTACGGTTAATGATTGGCCAACTTCAAGTGGAGCTTCGGCAGTACCTCAAATCCTACCTGGTAACCCTTCATAGAAATCATGACCAGTTGTCTACATAGCTTACTCGGTGCACCCAAACCAGCAACACATTGTAAAAGTTGTTGACACATTGTAAAAACAACACAGCTGTAAAAAGTTTACAAACTGAACTTGAAGAGATACTCAAAAGACAAGAGAAAGAAATGGCTTATCTGCTGACGAGATTTCTCAGCATTGCCTCTGAACACTCTGCATCACCAGTGATTGCTCCATTGCCACTTCCCACTCCTTTTGTAAAGAGTTATCATCTTAAGCTTAAATTTTCTACTTTTGAGAGACAGTCTGAAGTGGACCCCTTGCTCTATCTAACCAAATGTCTGTCTTGGTGGTGCATCCTCTTACACTTTCCACACAGTAAACTGATTCTCCTAACCCAAAGCCTAACACCTAACCATAACCTAACAGTCTACTGACAGTCTACTATAATATATTAATACTCTAATGAGAGTTAGTTGACACATAGTTGTTATAATCGAATTGCCTGGGCTGGCTTTATACGAGGAGAGACCAACACAGTCTCATAAAGATGCGTATCTATACCACGAGTGTCATTTCTCGTGGCATTTATACGCCAAAAGTGTTTTTTTCGTGTATATGGTACGCACTAAAAAACCCTGGGTTAGGTTTAGGGGGGAGGGGGTGGGGAGTTCGTGCGTATTATACGCAAAAAAAGTGCGTATCATATGTACGCGAAAATCGCGTGCCATATACACGCAAAAACTGTTTTTGGCGTATAAATGCCACGAGAAATGACATTCGTGCCATAGATACGAACTTTCATGAGATCGGGCAGAGATGATCTGCAGTTACATAATCATCACTTTATCAAAGATTGCTTGGGTTGAACTGGTTTCCCTCAAAGATGACTGCAGCTGGAGAATTGAGATGTAAAGACTTTTTTCTCAAAATAACGAGTTTAATCTCGCATTATAATGACTTTAATCTCGTTATTTAATGAGTTTATTCTCAAGATTGTATTTTGACTTTTTTTCTCAAAATTTAACGAGTTTAATCTCGCATTATAATGACTTTAATCTCAAGATGGTTTTATTGTTTTATTATTGTTTGGCCCTAATCCAACAAATGTATTGCTCATTTTTTATTCATTTTAGTTAATGCATTATCTTATGTTAACTAATAGAACCTTATTGTAAAGTTTTACCAAAGAAGTTGGTATATGAAACAAGTACATTTTATTATTATAAAATTGTAAAAAAAAAAATAATAATAATAATAAAATAAATAATAATAATAATCAAAAAATAAATAAATAAAATGGAAATAAAAACAGAAATCACAAGTAGCCTATATATTCAGCCTAGACAATTAATATATAGCAAAAAGAAAATGAATAGTACTAACACATATTAAACTTACTTAACAAAATAATTTAAAAATAAATAACATACATTAAGTTCATTTTAGTATCCGTTGTAACGTGTATGTTCTGTGCTCCCCCTCTTCATTGTGTATATGGGTTCTGTCCTTTCACCTAGTTTTCCATTTAGTTACTTATTAAATTCACCTTTCTGGTTAAATCAACTTATAAGTTCCCTTTGGTCATGCGTATGCCTTCAGTTCTCCATTAGTGTTTGTCAGTTCTTGTTAACATTATTGTGTGTTTTACTCCTACGTCTATTTCCATAGTATTGTCATTAAAGTCTATATCCTAGTTTTAGTGTGCTTCATACCGTGACATTAGTAAAGTTCGAATGTAGGTATCCTAATATAAATCAACTATTAGTATACTTGTGAGTGTACTATTTGTATTTTGTTACTACTTGGGACTAAATTGCCCCACTTTTTAGTGTATGAAAATATGCTTTAAAGAATATTTTAAGTATAAAAGTTGTAAAGTTTGTTAACTGTAAATTTTGTTAAATTACATAAATGTTTTAAAACTAAGTTTTTGTTTGTACTGCAAGTGAACTTTAATGATAGTTTACCAACTATACTTGTAGCACATTTTTAGTTTATGAAAGTACAGATTAAAGTATACTCTCAGTAAACTACTAATTTAGAAGTTGTATACTGCAAGTACACTTGCAACTTTTCTTTATGTGAGCATAACGTCATAGAATTTTTTTTTTTTTTTTTTTTTTTTTTTTTTGTCAAAGACTATGTCTGGATGGGATTTAGAACGATGATCAAAACACAGTAGAACGAGTCCATCCAGCTAAAATACATTATTCAGAACACAAATGACTAAAACAGTCATTTTGACATTTCTCTCTTACTATGTACCCATTATAACGTATAGTAATTTTCATTATTACAGCTTTGAAGAGATTTATTTTAACATTAATCATATTTGTCATCTTGCTCCCATCCCTGTTACTCTTATTTGAATGAATTAACAAATAACAGTATGAAAGAAAATATATGCGCTTAATTTTGTACTTTAGACTTTACATATAACGACACTGAGTGATTCTGTGATAATAAATGTATTTAAATAAACTCAATCTGAAAGAGACTTATCTTTAAGTTCCTTTATGCATCATTACTTGAAACATTTCCTCAAAAATTTTATATAAAAACCTGACCCACAAACACAGATGAGGAACAAAACAGTTCACTCCAGGAGAGAAACTATACCAAAACTGTCTGAAAGTGTAAAATAAACTATAGAAAGTAGTACAACCTGCAAAATGAACAAAGAAAATGGACAAACCACTGATGTCTATGAAAATGATGACGATATAAAAGGTAAGATCGGAAGAGATCATAGAAACAACCGTACTGAGATTAAAAAAAAAACAAAAAAACACACAGTTTTCATGCTCTCAGTTAATGTGTGCTTTGTTTATGGATAAATACAGAGAATAACATCATGTATCTGTTGTTCAGAAAATGATTGTATGAGTATCCGATGCTCCAGAGCAGCTCTAGTGTGTTTGGGGCTGCTCTGTGTTCTTCTGGTGGCCGGAGTCATAGTGCTGGGCTTCCTGTTCGCTCAAGAGAGACAACTAACCAACTATAACACAGACGAGAGAATCCAGCTGCTAACCAAGATTACCAACTTAACTCAACTAAACGCACAGTTAAATCAGGAGAAAAATGGCCTGTCAAAAAATCTTCAAGAAAGGGGTAAACGTGAAGTATATATATATATATATATATATATATATATATATATATATATATATATAGAAGTATATATATATATATATAATTTATGTATTTATATCTAAACTGGTTGTGTTTACAGATGGATGGATTTACTATAAATCCAGTCTTTACTTCATTTCCTCTGAGACGAAGAGCTGGACTGAGAGCAGAAGATACTGTACAGAAAGAGGAGCAGATCTGATCATCATAAACAACAGAGATGAACAAGTGAGTAAACTCTAACTGGATAGTTGATATTTTTAATTCTCTTTAAGACCTAAATGTGTTATTGTTTCATTTTCTCAGGATTTTGCTCTTTGGAAAATATCTGCTGGTGTTAAATTGTGGATTGGTCTGACTGACAATGATGTGGAGAACACATGGAAATGGGTTAATGGCAGCACACTGACCTATGGGTGAGAAAGGACTGAACTGAACTAATTATTATCTAATAAATGATTCTCACAGTCAGTATCATATCACACAGATGTTGATCTGTCGATGCAGGTTCTGGGAAATTACAGAGCCTAATGGACAAGCAAGAGAGAACTGTGTCCTAACTTATGGACAAGGATGGGCTGATTATCCATGCAATGCTATTTTTCAATTTATCTGTGAGAAGATAATTTTGAATTAAGTCACTGAACATCTCAGGTTTTAACCCTGTTCCCTGAAAAAGCGGGAACGAGATGCTGCCCGAACAGTGCAATGGGGATTTTTTTTGTTTTTGTTTGACTGGTTGTGAAAACGTGTGGCAAATACGGCAAGAATTTGGCTTAAAAATCAATTTCAAATTTATTTTGTTTTAAAGAATGTCATATTAAAATATCATTCAAATAGATACATAATATGCTAGCTATGAAAGTAACATTACATTTCCATGTGGATGCGGCTGCAGACACTTCTCACTTTTTTTTCTTTTTTTTTTTACTCAGAACAATCTATGAAAACAATCTAAGAAAAAAAAGTATATATATAAATTACGTTAAGCACTTTAATAATGTCCAGAAACGTTTGATGTCAGTTTAGTGACAACATTTCTCTCTGACATCCATTAGTATCGGACCCCTTGTGAATGAGAATGTGTTGATTTTTAAAGGCTTAGTTCACTCAAAAATAAAAATGATGTCATTGATGACTCACCCTCATGTCGTCCCAAGCCCGTAAGACCTATCTTCGGAACACAGTTTAAGATATTTTAGATTTAGTCCGAGAGTTTTCTGTCCCTCCATTAAAAAATATGTACGGTATGCTGTCCTTGTCCAGAAAGGAAATACATACATCATCAAAGTAGTCCATGTGACATAAGTGGGTTAGTTACAATGTTTTGAAGCATCGAAAATACATTTTGGTCCAAAAATTTTTGGTCCATACATTTTGGTCCATTTTTTATTTTATTTTTTTGCCCAGCCATATTTATTTGAACACGAATACATGGACGGACGCATCAGATACACGTCAGCAGCATCACTGCGGACTCGTGAATACGGATTGGCAACAGAAATATTCGTATGCGTATTTTCGTGTTCGTCAGCCTAAAAATTCGTCACCCATAGAAACCTTGCACACCGAGTCCGTTGTGTATTTATTAAACCTGTGCGGGAAAAAACGCAAAAATACCAAATGGATTTGTCAAGCAGTGAGGATGATTTTTGCCCTCTCTCTTATTGAAAAGAGAAGAAAGAGAAAATATTACGTCCATCCAATCCTGAAATTGCGCCGAGAGGAAGGAGAGTTCCACCTTTTCAAGGAGTTGCGAATTTATCTGAGCGATTCAAAATTTACCTCAGAATGTCAGCGGGACAGTTTGATGCTTTGCTAGCGATTCTGGAGCCACATATTAAAAACAAGACCACCAATTTCCGTGAACCAATCGATTCTGAACGGAGACTGGCAGTGTGTCTGGTATGGACCAGGTATGGACACACACACAAACACACACCCGCGCGCGGCCCTGTGACAGAACAGCTAGACTGTTATTGTGTATATATTGTGTATATTGTGCCCAAATAATACATTAGTTATCGAATAGGCTGCTCAATCACACCTTATTCGGTCCTAAATTTCAATCTGATTGAAAGGGAAGGTTTATTAATTTCATAATCCAATATAGAGAAGAGAACATAAACACTTGATCGAATTGAAAACCGAAACTGCAAGCACGGCGCATATATGCAATGATTTGAGGACGAGCTCCCCCCGGCCCTAAATTGTCAAAAGACCTCTCAAAATGCTGGCTCTGGATGCGAAAAACGCAGAAAATCGAACCCGATCCGATTAATTTTATGACGAACGAAAGTTTCGGAGGCGGTGTGCAAGCGTGACTGACATAACGTGAGGTCGATTTTTTTTTTTTTAACGTGCGAAAATTTCGGATGCGAATTTCGGACTCAGTGTGCAATGGCCTTAAATCTAAAATATCTTAAACTGTGTTCCGAAGATGAACGGGGTCTTACGGGCTTGGTACGGCATGAGGGTGAGTCATTAATGACATCATTTTTATTTTTGGGTGAACTAACCCTTTATAAGGAACAAGAGGGGAGCGATCTCGCCTGTCACCATGATGGGACGGGTGTTCTGCAATATAGTTTCAGAGATATGGCTCTCGAAAGTGTGGGAGAAACAATATTTTTACAATAGAAAACTTGTTAATTTACTTTTCAGCTTTAATCTGTCCATTTTTAGTTTTGGTTTGTAAAGAACAAATGCAAAACTAAACAAACATCCGAAAAGATGGCAATGTTTTCATTTTGATTTTAAGTTTGATTTTAATGAAAATGTTGGTATTCAACATAGCATTTAAACATACATTAATCGTTCTATTTTTGTTTTTATCACTATGGTTAAAAAAGGAATGGACTACAAATTACAAGGATCGACCAGATTTAAAATAAATACAATTATTTACTTGAGAAACATTAAAGAGATAGTTTGCCTTAAATATCTCAGATTTCATGTGTATGTTGTGATGGAAATTCTTTATACAATAAATGTGTTCTTATTTCATATAGATGTGAATTCTTTCAAACATAGAGTGTGTTAAAGACACTGCAAGATGCATTTCCTCCTATGCAAGTAGGTCGTGAACAGGGACGTGCACAGGAATTTTGAGGGGCAGTTGCTCTGACCTGAAAAAAGGGCACCCCCCCCCCTCCTCCTCCCCCCTCACGGGCGATATGAAGGAATATATATTTAGTTGAATTTGTCACCTTCCAAATTGTCTTATCTGGCCGTGTTTATGTCCAAACGCAATGCCTCATCTTATGGTCTTATTATTATTTATAAAGATTGCAAAATGTCAGAGATGAGACAAATGAGCAAAAGAGTTCCTCATATTGTTGTTTATTGTTTTTTTAAATTATTTTTATTTATTTATTTGAAAAGAAATAATCTGGATTGAATGGAAAAACTTGAAAAAATAAAAAACGCTTAGATTCCGGGAAAAAATACAATCCTTTTTTGCCAATCCTGACTTCCCCCTCGGGCCCTAAGCAAAATTCTGCTAAGGGGCCCTCTACCTGATCTGTGATGCCGTGAGCCATGTAAACCATTTGCCATTGCCACTCAATACCGCCCAATACAATCCTCCCTCCTTTAAACAAAACAGTCAAAGAACAAGTACAACAATATAGAACAGAATGAGGTTCAAACAAACAATATTTACTGAATAAAGCATTTTTATACAATGTTAAGATAACAAGTGAATATTAACGTAAACATAAATAAGAAGAAAATAATAAAGTACAACCCTGAACTTTGGCTTTTGGGATTAATTTTGATTCACTCTACAGCCAGGGTATTTTCGGAATCAGTAGCCTATGATTTTTATTTATTTATTTTTTTTATGCATGTTGAAGGAAATCTTGATTTATTGTTATTTACTGAGGGATTTGCATTCATATTGACCTGAATGTCCAGCTAATCATCATTTTAAATTCAATATAGCCTATAAATCAATAGTCAATCAATGTCAAATTGCCAATACATTGGTTTCTATCTTGCATAATTAGTGCAGTTGTTTAGAGTTTTTAACTACACTGAGACTAGATAATCAGTGTCTTTATAATGTGTACTTTGATTGGGAGTGCCATCATTCACGTATTGTACAGTATTTCTGGTCTCCACATTTCTGCTTGAAAAATGTGAGTTTCATTTCGTGCACGCGCATATGAACGCAACACACGCGACGCGGTTATGTTTTCCGAGCTGCAGTAAACAAACGCTGTTGTTGCACTTTGTCGTTTATAAAAAATAAAACGTAATAAATAATGGTATTTTACTCTCACTTTTGTCAGGCAAAAAGTGATGCAAGAGATGCACTGCCTGCCCAGATAGGTTAGCAAGACCAAAAACCATCAAACTTTGCTGACATCAAACTAGAGAGGAGAGAACACAAGTTTACCTGACTGCTGTTCCCGCAATTCTTCTTCCTCTTTTCGTGACGAGAAGGATAGTTTCGCTTCATTTTGTCATGGACTTCGTACACATTAATTAGCGCGCGACACGGGATGGAGGCGCGGCCTGAGTAATTTGCTGTGCCTTTACCATACACACCGGTCGCGTGCAGTCTATGGTCGCGTGCGGCACTGCAGCCACGTAAACAGTTTGACTTTCCCTTTCAGTGCCCGAATGGAAGTGAATGAGGCTTTGCGATTTTTATATTATGTTTTTGTCTAGGCCTACGTGAAATTCTACATCCATTGTACGATTTTTTTTTCCTCAGAAGGGCAACATGAGTCGAGAAGGGCATATGGGCAGTTGCCCGGGCAACCTGAGCAACCCCCCTGTGCACGTCCCTGGTCGTGAACAATGTACGAACAGTACTTTGTTCAAAATAGATAAGCTTGCTTGTATCCGAGCAGAAACATGTTTTTTTAGTCAGAAGATAAGAAGGGGAAGGGGTACATTTTGGAGGATGATCTTTATAAGCTCTGTAAAGTGAGAAGACTTTTGCCCTTCTCATATCAGCCTCTGTCTGTGTGCCTTTCTTGCAAGAAATAAACATGTATACTTTTGAATTTCAAGATCTTCTCTGTTCTTTAATTATTATTTAACATCAAGGTTTAAAATTTCCATAATGTCTTGTGGGTTTGGAATGACATAAAAGTGAGTAATTAATGACTGAATTTTCATTTCTGAAAATTGAAAATTAGAACTATAAATTGAAAATGAACTATAACCCTTAAAACAAAAACAACAAAAAAGTGTTCTATTTAAAAAGTAGCCTATTTTAGCTAACTGCGCTAACACCAAAAAAACATGAATCATAAATTGATGAGCTGTCTGATGTAACAGCAGCAACCTAAAATTTTCCCACGCCACCCACCATTAAAATTAGCATCGATCCACATTTAAATAGACACAATGCGGACTGTTGAAACAAATATTTCTAGTGACCTTCTTCAGTGTGTTGAAGTTCCTTTATCCACAAACAGTTCCTTTCTGAATAAATACTGACCACACAAACACAGATGAAGAACAAAACAGTTCACAGGAGAGAAACAACTAGTTTCTTGGCATCATGACAACAACAAAACAGTCTAAAAGTGTAATAAAAAGGGGTACAACTCAGAAAATGCACAGAGAAGATGGGGGAAAAACATTGACAGTGTCTAAGAATATAGGATGTTGTAAGAGGTGAAGTTGGAAAAACTCAACTTAATTAGAAAATCCAGTAATCTGAACTCTATCCAGTATTGGTCACTGTATGATATACTATTTTACCACTTTAAAATTATTTTTAATTTAGTTAAAGTACTTTAACCATTTCTACTGCACTAAGATTAGGCTTGTTAATGATGAGATGGATAAAGATTTAATAATGGAATCAAAAGACAGAATAGAGAAGAAGCATCTACATCAGTGCAGAGGCTGCACTCTCAGAAAAAAAGTTACAAAAGCTGTCACTGGGGCTGTACTTTTTCAAAAGGTACACTTTTGTACCTTAATGGTACCTATTAGCACTTAAAATGAACATATTAGCACCTAGTACATATTAACACCTAAAAATGTACATATTAGCACCTAGAATGTACATATTAACACCTAAAAATATACATATTAGCAACTAGAATGTACATATTATGACCTAAAATGTATGTATTAACACATAAAATGTACATATTAGCAACGTGTACATATTAACACCTA